GGGCAAAAAACACAATTGCATGATATTGTAAGTAGGTTGCAAAAAGAGATTATGCAGCCAAAGCCAAGCAGGTCTGCTTGGTAAGGAAATGCTATCTTTTCGTTGGCTACCATTGTTACGAAAAGACACGTACGAAAAGAAAGTGCTAATAATGGTGTGTTAATCACGTCAATTCACAATAGACAATTATAAAAAAAAAAAATCTTTCGTTATAAATTAAATTTTAGAAAATAATAACTCGTCGATATTTAATTTTTAGTCCTAGATCTGGTGAATGTCAATAAGGATGGACCGGGTAATGCAAAAAGGGAAAACAGCAATGGTAGCCAACGAAAAGATAGCATTTCCTTACCAAGCAAAAAAGTAAAATTTATTTTCTCTTTACGTTAATTACTTTTCAAGGAGACAGCAAATAATTCATTTGCTTGTTTGATCTATACAGAATTTGGGTCCTGCTACTTTATTATCTATTGCACGTACCTCAAAAAAACTTCAAAGTTTTTCCAATTTTACCAAACATTGTCTAAATACACCTACTATCTCATCATTCATACAAACAACACAGATCCAAACCTCCACATCTTCAATCACTACCACAAACAATAACAAATCTTCCATCAATCCCAATTCAAATTTAACCACTTCGACGAATAATTCTGCATTAATAACATCTACTGATAAACTGCATCAATCATCGACGGTCGTAACCTCTTCACGGGCAAAACAGTGCTTTCAATGTGGTGAAAAAACTACCAATCGTATCAATACTAATAATAATTCGGATCAATTACAGTCTTCTAGTAAACTATTATGTGGTGACTGTGGTGACTTGTTGAATTCATTTTTATTTCCTTCCAAGAATATAAATTTTCAAAATTTTTGTGTGGACAAAAATACTATAACTAGTAACAGAATTAATCATCACACCACTACCATCGTTACGGGGAGCATAGAATATAACATTCAAAAGTGTATTAAAAGTGGAAACAAAGATAACGAAGTCTTACAAATGGCAATATTTGAGAATGAATATTATTGGAATCATTATTTAGAAAAAAAACGTAAGTCACCTGCTAGATTATGGGGAAACACAAATAACCCGGAGGGTAGAGTTGAAGTGTTAGATGGTCTTATACCATTAAATAAACGAGCTAGATGGTTGAATCGATCGAATTATATGTAGTATAGGTGGATTACTGAGAAACTTTTAGTTAAAATAAATTTAATATTTTATATATAAATTTATAATGGTCAAAAAGAATTTTTATGATACTTTAATAAATCGAATGGTATGTAGGATAGGTGGATTACTGAGATACTTTTAGTTAAAATCAATTTAATATTGTATAAATTTATAATGGTCAAAGAATTTTTATTATATTTTAATTCCATAAATTTTCGAAATAATGGTATGATATATATTTGTTGAAATAATGTCCATGCGTATCCAGAAACAATGAGTTAATATTAAAATCTATATGCTCAATTTAAACTTATATATTTTGTCTAATAAAACGAAGCTGTACAAAAAAAAAAAATTTTGTTTTAAAAGAAAGTAAATTAACAAATAAATCTTCTTGTATCTATATTTAGTATTGTGATGTAACATTGTAGAAAATACACAAATGTATTTTGTCTAATAAAACGAAGCTGTACAAAAAAAAAAAAAAAATTTTTTTAAAAGAAAGTAAAATAACAT